ATAACACCCACCTCATCAAATCCATTGGTAATACGCATCTTCTTTTCACCCACTTTCTCTTTGACAGACTGCTTTGTGGCGAGCACCTCCATTGGATTGCAGATACGGTTGAGTTTCTCATTACCGTTTTCCGTTTTCATCTCTGTTATTCCTACAGAAGCCTGTACCGTGATATTATCAGACTTATCATCTATGATTGCAGGCTGCTCTTCATCTGTTCCTTGGGAGGTCACGTTCTCCTCTCCATCCTGGGTTGTGGGAGAAGAGCTCAGGGTGTCGTTCCCAGCAGGAATCCTACGCTTCCTTAGTAAGCGTTCCTGGTTAATCACATTTAATTGTTCCTTCTGCATGTTCTCCTTACCCCGACGTCGACTCTCTTCCAGCTCTCGTCGCTTGTTCTCAGCCTTCTGTTTCAGTTTGGCGAAGAACCTTTGGTGGATCAGGTACTCACTCATGGTGCCCACCTCCAGCACCCCAGAACAAGAGACGATGCCCTTACTGTTCCTCGCTGAGGCCTGATAAACGGCTGCATCATCTTCTGTACAGCTGCCAAATGAAGAAATGTAGTTAATAGTCATTGTGTAAACAATAAAAGCATTGATTTGGATGTGAATGTATGAAATGTATTGTAGAATAAGCAGTCAGGTCATACTTGTAGATGTGGAGTGTGTGAATTTTTCCATTGCGAAATATTTCATATTTGGGAAGACCACAATATTGTTCCTTCTGCATGTTCTCCTTACCCCGACGTCGACTCTCTTCCAGCTCTCGTCGCTTGTTCTCAGCCTTCTGTTTCAGTTTGGCGAAGAACCTTTGGTGGATCAGGTACTCACTCATGGTGCCCACCTCCAGCACCCCAGAACAAGAGACGATGCCCTTACTGTTCCTCGCTGAGGCCTGATAAACGGCTGCATCATCTTCTGTACAGCTGCCAAATGAAGCAAATATTGTCATTGTGTAGTCACTACTAAAAGCATTGATTTGCATGTGAATGTATGAAATAAACTTTAAAAAAAGAATTGTATTGCTTTAGAAATGCAAAGATAGGTAGAAAATAAGCAGAAATAAGAAAATAATCATACTTGTAGATGTGGAGTATGTGAATTTTTCCATTGCGAAATATTTCATATTTGGGAAGACCACAATATCGATCTAACTCCATGTCATCTTTGTACCAGGTCAACTCAGGAGCTGGGTAACCTGGTGAAAATGTGTAATGGTGTTATAATACTGAACATTAATTCAAACTAGAAAATCATAATTGTATATTTTGGGGAAAAAAAACATACATACAGACGTCACACACCAAATATGATTATTTGTTGTGTATTTTTTACAATACTGAAATGCTATAGAACATATGGACATACAAATGCCATAAAATACAGTTTAAAACTGTATTTTCATAATCATAAAGCAACTTACCTGTGACCACACAAGAGAACTTGACATTGCATGATTCTGACACTGCCTTCGATTTTATGGTGGTCTCAAAACATGGCTGGGTCTCTTCAGTCAACTGAGCCATGACTGTACATAATGTACTCCTGGAAATGGCCAATAAAAATTTGTCAACTCATTAATCCCCATTTCAGGAAAGCTAGTATATATTATATAAAATTAATCCAAACATTATTATATAAATCAATAAATTAATAAGCTAAAGCAACAGTTTGCATAGACACGAAAGTGTCACCAAATTATAATTATTGGTGTCATCGGGAGGAAAGGCTGCAAGGTATTAACAGGGTGAGAGGATATTCTTTTAGCCTTTTAATATTAACATGTAAAAGTTTGTTTTGGTATCATTTATAGTGTACTTTTTCATGTACAATATACAGTGGTTATTTGGGCGGGTCACAGTATTGATCACGTTGCAATCAAATGCAATTGGCTTTAATTTTGTATTTCTGAAATTGTAAAACAACAAACCAAAGCAGAAAGGCATTTTGGGGAATATAAATTGTTATTTGAAGTGTAGTTAGTTTTGGATTGACCTTTTGGGAAGCTTTTATTACCTCGACGGCCTGTAGTTTGAATACCTGTGTGTTGAAAAGCTATTTAGAAATGAGGCAAATCAAAGGGACACTCATCAGACAAGAACATCTAAACTAGGGACTAGTCAGTGTGTGACCCTGATTTTAATCACAGCCAGGAGCATCTGTAATACTTCATACAGTAAACGCTGTTGCTTATGGGGAGAATGTTGTGGTCTCTCTTGGCATAACCGTAGTTGAGCCAATACAATACAACCAATATGGGAACCACAGTTAGATCAGCATTTCAGCAGCAACAAAAAACATTGAAACTGATGAAAATTTGATTTTTTGATTGTATTTAAGTTGATGTGTGCTAAAATGGGATCTCATTTGATAAAATAAAGTATCAGAATAGGAGAATAGGGGATTTTTTCCACATAAAAACCAATGATCATGTTCTAACCAAAGACAGTTTTTAAAATCAAATTATATACCATTAATATTCCATATAATTTATATACATTTTTGATTATATTTATTTCACAAATATCGGTGATTAGTAAAATACTGTAGTTATGTATTTCCAAAATATTTATTAAAAACACAATTCATTTCTAGACATAATAACCATCATAAACCTCAAAATCAACATCCAAACTGGAGGTTTGGATAACTCTGACACAAGCAGACATGCTTTACACCATCAAACAAGGCAGAAAAACACCCTCAATCAAATTTGATAAAAATTTTTTTACCTATTTTCGGGCCTAATGTTGGAGAGGTAGTTGCAGCTCTCTGACCTTCCGCTTGCCGATGAAACATCCTCCCCATTTTGGCTTCCCGATCTCCCATTTCCAGAGTAAGAGCGGGTCATGGGCCTCCTGGATGTCATTGTCCAAAATAAATAACTTCAACAGTCCAAAAAACCCACCAGTCTCTTTAAGTGGGGTTTCAGTGTTTCTGCAGAATAAAATTCAGGTCGGTCTCCGGGCGATTGGAACCAAAAGGTAAAGTTCCACTTCGTAGCTATTTGGAGAACTACTGAAAAGCAAAAAAATACAAATCAATCAAACTAAGAAACACAAACACTGAAAGTAATAACAATATTAATAATATGTAACCAAAATTTTAAAATATAGTTTAAACAGAACCGTTCTGTTTTGAGGGCAGCTAGTCTCAACAAGCAAACCATTTGAACAGAGAAGTTATAAATAGGAACTGCCGTCTGCTAATTTCAATTTGGTCAAACGCACTAATTTGTATTTGATTTCAAACCAACACATATAGTTTGAACTTTGAATTGCTTGACAAAACAGCACAACACTTAAAGAACTCACCATTAGTATGTTTCTTTGTCTGTTCTTTGGAGCCTGCTGTCCCAGTAGCACTAGAATTGTCAATCACAGCAGAGCATGTGAGTTGCCAGCAGGACCCTATTTATAGCAGGCCTACAAATAGGCGCAAGAGCACATCACACTTTCCACAACTAGCCATTGCTCTGAAGCCACTTGAAAGAAGCATCCAAGAAAAAGACAGCAAAAACTTCCAAGCGCAGGTTAAAATAAAAAATATCTCCTGCTTTAATCATTCCTTCTCTGCCAGCCTCATAAAATCCTGTCATTCTTTCTCTGATTGACTGATTGTCTGATATACATTAACACACATAGAAATGGCCCACTGTGTGTAGAAATTTAGCTAAATGCATCTAGTATGTGATGTGGAGAAAGTGATCTGATGCAAGTGGCCCTTTGATGACAGCTCTCCGGACAAGCTCAAAGCATGGCCCAGGTTTAATTAGGACAGCCCCCTCTATGTCACTCTGTCTGTACACCCTCCCCATAACAATCAACAACCTTTCCCACCGGTCATGTGTCATTGCATCATTTTCCAATCATAAAAGGGCTCTGATTACATGCTGTCAAGCAACCACTCTCACAAACATACCGTGCATCTTTCAAACAAGAGATGAAACACATGCTTACAAATAATAATAACAGAGATGTAAACTTGAGTGTAACACTCGGACTCAAGTCACACGTAAGTAACAAGTCATTAAATTAAAAATTAATATAGAATTATTATCATTTAAGAATTGCAGAATACGATTGTAAATGCAATGATAAAGTGCTGAGAACACATAGAAACAGAAAATAAAGCAAATATTTTAAAACTGTAAGTGTATCTGTGATGTTATAAAGGGTAAAGCCAGTATATTGCATCACAATAATCAACTGTATCATAATTTTTTTTTCATTGCTGACAGTAAGGCAATACAAAAACAAAAAGGGGATCCAAAGAACAGAGCAGAACTACAAACAAACAAGAAACAGACAAACAAACAAGAAACAGACAAACAAACAAACAAACAAACAAGCAAACAAATAAATAGTGTGCCATTCAGTCTCAAGTCACACTTAATTTACAAAAAAATTACTTGAATTGTCTTGAGTTGGATGCCAAATTAGAAGTAGTATAAATAATAATAATAATAAATTATTATTATTATTAGTAATAATAATTTTTATTATTATAATATTATTTAATAAGATTGCATTGCAAACCATTTATATGGCATTTGTATTTTTATATCACTTTTAAAAGCAAAAGTGCGGAGAGCACGGAGACGAGAAATAAAATAAATAAATACAGAATATTATACATTCTTTTTGAAAAACAACTTTGAGGCACTTTAAAAAAAATTATATATATATAATATAAAAATTATATATATATTATATTTATTATATTATAATAAAAATTATATACATTTATGAATATAACATTTACCTAAAATAGAAATATTATTTAATATAAACTGGTTATGTTATTTCTAGTAAACTCATACAGGCTACCTACCAATAATCAATCATCTTTCCAGCTCAGCATTGTTAGTTGCTTTCAATATGACGTCAGCCTGTCATTAACCTGACGAAGAAAGAAAAAATATTTTCAGTCTACTGTACCTGCTGCAGTGTGCAGATGTTGAGGGCGCATCTACACTGAGCACAGCGGTAGTGGGAGGGCCAGTCTGTCATTATTACGGGAAACCATTCATTTTTCAGCCAAACTCTATCGCAGCATGTTGAATATCCAGACGTCGATACAGCTGACGCTCTGTGTATGTTTGCATGACGGGTTTTAGGAAGGGAGTGTGATATAAGTCGCAGTCAGCCGGCATTCACAGCATACAGCAATGAGCACTAGGACAGGTGAGTGTAACACCCCTCTACATCTACTGTATACTGCAAGCGAACGACGCCACAAACTAGATGCTGTTGCCGTCCGGGACTGGTTAACACACAGGGAAGTTGTTAAAAAGCAACTGTTTAGACTGTTAAAAAGTGACTGTAAGGGTTTGAGCCAAAAATTCTAACTCATATTAAATTAGAGTAATTTTGTAAATTCTTTCCTCCAAACTAAAATTTCCATATCATATTTTTTTCTGTAGCTGCTGTGTAAACAAGTGAACGCCATAAAACCACACTGACGTACATTCAGACAAAAACGTTTAAACTTGTGCTTACATAGTTATAAAAATATAACTTGGGCTAAATAGTTTTAAGTGTTACAGTTTATACAATTATTAATTACGGTATCTGTTTGCCAAATAATGGGATCATGTTTTCACAAAAGGTCAAAAAGTCATTTGTTTTTAGAACTGTATTTTTTTCGTAGGCAAAATGGTTCATTCCTTATAGTTTACATATTGGAGAATTGCTTTATAATCAGTAAAATTCATAAGCTGATATAACTGCTAATGCATTATGGTATTTTATTGTATTGAAGTGGTGTGACATTTTAAAGAATGGGATTTTTAAGTCCTCAGACTGAGAAATCTGAAATGACAATTAAAGCATAAATGTGACCCTGGACCACAAAACCAGTCTTAAGTCGCTGGGGTATATTTGTAGCAATAGCCAAAAATACATTGTATGGGTCAAAATTATAGAATTTTTTTAATGCCAAAAATCATTAGGATATTAAGTAAAGATCATGTTCCATGAAGATATTTTGTAAATTTCCTACCGTAAATATATCAAAACTTAATTTTTGATTAGTAACATGCATTGCTAAGAACTTCATTTGGACGACTTTAAAGGCGATTTTCTCAATATTTTGATTTTTTTGCACCCTCAGATTCCAGATATTCAAATAGTTGTATCTCGACCAAAAGTCCTATCCTAACAAACCATACATCAATGGAAAGCTTATTTATTCAGCTTTCAGATGATGTATAAATCTCAATTTTGAAAAATTGACACTTAAGACTGGTTTTGTGGTCCAGGGTCACAAATAGGTATATTTAAATAAACCTATAATAATGAAAGAGACTTCTCATTTCCCTGCAAAGTGTTGTAAAAATGGGTAAATTTTTATTTTAGGATAAACAAGATATTATGAACCCAATCATTTCAAATTTGCTATCACTTTTCTCTTGAATATTACTTTGGCATGAAATGACTGTACAAACACTGTTGCAATCATGATAGATTTGCTTCTTTTAATAATTAATCATTGGGCACTATCTGTGCTAACTGTTCCAAACTCTGGATTGCTTAACTTTTCTCCATGTATCTTTGTTTTGATTCTGAATGCCACTTTTGTTGTTATGTTATGCCACTATTCATACTTCTGTTTTCTTTTTACACAGGTGGTCAAATTCTGAAATGACTGACTACCTTATCAGTGCAGCACTATTGTGGTCTAGGCCCTTACACACTTAAGAGTAACGCCGACAGTCATGAGAACTGGTATAATATACCTATCCTTATGCGTTTTTTCCCCTTTAGAAATTTCTACTTAGTTGTATTTACAACACTGTTCCGGAACAGTTCAACCCAAATATTCAGATGTGTGCAGCGCAGTTTACGGAGGACTGTTTCCTGAACCTGGAAGAGTAGCCTACAATGTGTCTGTGGCACAAAGGCTGTTTCTATAAAATGGGGCAGTTCCAACTTTTGCAAGGACAGTCTGGCGCTTCTGACACACAGCCTGTAAGTACGTTTTCATATTAAAAGAATTTGCCACTGACGTTCCAAAAGAGGACCCGACTAGAAATCAGTGGTTAAGTTGTATTTACAACACTGTTCCAGAATAGTTCAACCCAAATATTCAGATGTGTGCAGCGCATTTTATGGAGGACTGTTTCCTGATCCTGGTAGAGTAGACTACAATGCTGGCTGTTCTGACTCACAGTCTGTAAGTTTTTCATATTTAAAGGATTTGCTACTGATGATTCAAACGAAAGTTTTGAGCAGTGTAGAGTAACGCTTGTTGTTTGTCATTTCTCCGCGTTTCTCCGATCACATGGTTTTATGTTTACGCGGCGCGATATGCAACGCAATGCGTAAAAAGACAGTATAAGTCATTATAATCCGTAATTATGTCCCCACTGGATGCAACAAACGCCTTGTTTATAATAGGTTCTGTTTATAATAGGTTTTGTCTCGTCGCACCGGGACACGGCATCACAGTATGGTAAGGGGCGTAACATTTCCATCACACGCTTGAGGTATTCAGCCAATCACAACGCACTGGATAGCTGGCCAATCAGAGCACACCTCGCTTTTCAGAACGATGAGCTTTGTAAAAATCAACGCGTTTCAGAAAGGCGGGGCATAGAGGAGCAACAATAATGTACAGTATGTGGAAAATAATGTGTTTTTGAACCTTAAACCGCATAAACACATAATAATGTTCTTTTTAGCAACGTCATATGACCCCTTTAATTTTCATAAATCATGTTTTTTTTTATTGTTATCATGTTTTTATTGTGTTTAATTGTTAGTTAGCTGGTTTTTTTGTTGTTGTTATTATTGAATCAAAACAACCCAACTGCAGTTTGATTGATATTAATTGGAATGCAGGATAAAAACATGATTTTTGAAAATGAACTCATCATATGTGTAGTTATTTTTTTATTGTATATAAAATGATATATTGTTTTTTTGTGGGCAGAAGTTGTTATTCTGCAGCAGCCGGTGTCTGTGTGTGTACCACCAAACCATGAGGTGACCTTAAGAGTTCAAGCAATAGGCACTGGTGCATTGAAGTATCAGTGGTTTGATAAACAACAGACAGAGGTTTGTAGACTTTATATATTATACATTTTACATCTTTGATTTATTTTTTTAAAAAGTTGATTTTAATACTGTGAGAAATAAATACCCAAATGTATCAAATAACGTAATGCTTAATCTTTTCAGGTGGCAGGTGGGACGGAGCCCGAGCTCACCGTCTCTCTCCAGAGATCTGGAAAATATATTTGCAGAGTGAGCGACCTGCACTGTAACTATCAGTTCACAGAATGGGTAAAAGTGAGAATCCTAGATGAACCAGGTACTTTCCGTTATCTTGTATTGCCATTACATTTTTATTATCAGCTGCATTAATCATCTGACCTAAGAGACCATGAACCCATATTGAGACTGACATTTACTTATCAGTGATTTATTTTGCAAGGTTTTTTCTCAATGTGCCAGTTTTAAGACTGCAGTATCTGTTAGATAACGTGATGCTTTGTGTTTAGGTGTTTCTCGCACGTGGAGAGGGGAACCCCATATAGTCATTCACCCAATAAGCCAAACAGTAAAACCAGGGGAGACTTTCACTCTTAAATGCACAGCTTTAGGCAAACCTGCTCCTGCCTACCAGTGGTACAGAAACGGTCGCATCCTTCCTAAACAGACCACAGAAACACTTAGGGTAAGTCCACTGTACCACTCTTTGTCTCGAGCTGTTTTGTTGTCGTATTGATTCATTTTTATGTGCAAGTTGGGTTCGGATCATTGTTTTTAAATGTGAGCAATTTGCTTTGACTGTAATGACTGACTCAGTGGTACACATTGAAGTTGGAAGCTGCCTAAAATAATCATGTTTTGCATTTGGTCTTCTTTGTTTAGATAGAAAATACCAGCGCAGACACTGTGGGCTCATACCTTTGTGCTGTGTCAAATATTTTGGAGGAGAGGTGGTCAGAAGCAGCTGAGATTGAGATTGGTAAGAAGCGCCAACGGCTGTTTATGTCAAGCTTTTCAAGCCTATCATTGGCCTTCAGTACACAGCTTCCATTTTGGAGTTGTTTTTTTTTGAAGACTTTAGTGGCCATTCATACAGAATATGTTTATTTTTTCTGGAATTGTTGATCTTAATTAGCATCTCTGCCACATCATTTTTTTTAAATTTTCATGTTTATTTAAACATTAAAATATATTTTTTGCAAATTGGTAATCTTTTTAAATCTTAATATTACTTTAATATTTTAAAATAGTTAAAGAAATAGTTCACTCTTAAATGAAAATTTGCTAAAAAATTATCCTCGGGCCATCCAAGATGTAGATGAGTTTGTTTCTTCATCGGTACAGATTTGGAGAAATTTAGCATTACATTACTTGCTCACCAATGTATCTTGTATTAAATATTAAAATTAAACTTTGTTTGCCATCATGATTCAATTTAACTTGCACATTAGATCTCCTTAAGAGCTTGCTTTGTGATGAAAAGCAATTTGATGAAAAAATTAATAAAGGAAACCATCCAGTGTTTTGCTCTGGGCCTTGAACTCTTTGTGCTCAGTGTAGTCCTAGTCTAGTTTCAAATTACTGGTACTTTCCACAATTTGTAGGAGTTAAGAACAATCAGGAACTGAATTTGTATTTTGAGTCTAAACAGATCCTTAGATACATGAGTAAAACTAAAGTTAGACTGAAACCAGCTCAATGAGAACTTCCCTTTTTACTTGTCACATTGTGGAACGCAAATAATGTTAACGTTCTGAGAATTTTTTTCCATAGTGAATCTAGTGGAAGAACACGAGCTATAGGCTTTGTGGGTAGCATGCAGCAGCATGCTAACATTTTCTCATTCTCTTTCAACTTTCACCAAAACATTTTTCCTCTGGTTCCCCCACAGCGCCTCCAGATCAACAACCAACGCCCACGCTTATGGGTAGGTCACAGACAAAAGCTTTTTTCAGCTCATGTCAGGTTAAAAATAGACTTAGTACCTACCTGTGTTTCACAATACTCCCACCTTGAATATTTCCCCTAGAAAACAATCACTGTCATTCATGTAGGATTGTCACAGTTGTGGAAAAAGCTTGAAATATCAGGGAGTTTTCAAATAATGAATTGGAGGCCGGCCACAGTTATGGAAATTATAAAAAATTTGAAAGTTCGCTGAAATAGAAGAAATCCTAGAAAGTCCAATCCTCCATTGAACTGCATTCAAAGCTCATGCAGGACGCCTTATAGAAGACATATGTTTAAAATATTTCCTTTTTTTTTTTTAAACTTTGTTTGTAAATTACTTGTAATACCCAGTAATTAAATGAATTTATAAAAAGAAAAAAAATATATAATATAAAATATTAACAGTGCATTTAAAATTCTGCATAAAAATAACACTTTATTTGTTTCTTTACAAAGTCTGTTTGTAAATTACCCATGCAATCAATATAACGTGTATATTTTAAAATTATAATAAAATAAAATATAATACGATTTCAAAAAAAAAAAACCTTTATAAACAAATTTAATGAAGGAAAACATTCTTTCCCTTAGCAGCCGACAAAGTGGCATTATTGATTGGGAACCTGAACTACAATCACCATCCTGGTCTGATGGCCCCCATCATGGATGTTCATGAGCTGGCCAATCTTCTGCAACAGCTAGGCTTCAGAGTGGTCTCTCTGCTTGATCTCACCCTTCCGGAAATGCAGGCTGCCATTGACAAGTTCTTGCAGCTCTTGGACCGTGGAGTGTATGGTGAGTCACATATTGTGGGTTTGCTGGAGGAGCCGGTAGGAAATGCCTGGTGTGTTTCACAGGACTGCTTTAACTACAATTAATTCTCTCACAGGATGTAGACTTTGCACTGATGGCAATGGCTTGTTTGAGGTGAAAGTTTCAGGTTCCTGACTGCAAAAAAGAGTCAGGAAATTATGTGCAGGAATAAATAAATTGCAATGTGCAATAACATGCTCATTTGAAATGATCCGGATTTCTCAGTTTGAAGTTGTGGCTATCAGTGCTATCCATTGTGTCTCCATAGTGTATGTTTTGTGCTGGAAAGTGTTGTGATGGACGTTTTTTCCAGTGCTGGACACTACACAGTCCATTTGAAATTCTCCTGAAAAAAATGAATTTTAGTGTTGCTCAATAAACATGACTGGAGCGTCTCAGTGACGAGTCAGAGGAAGTTCCATCTGAGTGGAAAAAAGGCTTTGTTTTTTCTGGTGATACAGTATCAGTGCATGTCATGGGTCAAAAAACCACAGCACTTTCAACCAAAGGGCTTTTTTCAGAGTAACATTGAGATGCTGTAGTCTGTTGATTGGCTGATAAGAGATGTGTGGGCAGTAGTGTGCCTTGCTGCTTTTATCTCCAGAAACCTATAATGCTTCTAACCAACTTATCCAACCAACCGTATAACCAATTTATACTGGTTGTTTAGCCCACATTGGACTTTCCTTTTTTAAACTTGTATTGTAAACTGCCTCATAATGAAAATAATTTGGCACACAGTGTATTCAATAGAAAGTGAAAAATGGAAAGTGTTTAGTCATTACATTGATTGCCTCTGTACTGTTGTCAATATGGGTTACATTTTGCTGATGTCATAGCAATAGTCAGTCACAGCATCATCAAAATATGAAACATTGTGTAGTTTTCATGTTTTACCAAAAAAGTAAGTTTCTGTCATCATTTGTTCACACTAATGTCTTGCCAAACTTAGCAAATGTCTCTTTTCTTTCTTCTGTGGAGCACAAATTGTACATTTTTGGCCAGTTCAAGCTTCAAGAAGTACACAAAAGCACTGTAAAGCTATCTTATAATGGCTCATGTGCATACAATTGCTTTGTGTTGTAAACAAGCTGACATTTTAAGTTGTTATTCACTGATAAACTTTGAGTCCAATGCGACCAGATCAACTGGTTCTGGAATCAGTGTTAGCAAATGTCTCTTTTCTTTCTTCTGTGGAGCACAAATTGTACATTTTTGGCCAGTTCAAGCTTCAAGAAGTACACAAAAGCACTGTAAAACTATCTTATAATGGCTCATGTGCATACAATTGCTTTGTGTTGTAAACAAGCTGACATTTTAAGTTGTTATTAACTGATAAACTTTGAGTCCAATGCGACCAGATCAACTGGTTCTGGAAGCAGTCACTGGTTTTGGAAGCTAGTGCAAGAGTCGAATGAACTACTTTGATGCTTTTATGGTTCAGATATTCTTAAAAAATTCTTCTTTTGTGTTCCTTTTAAAGAAAGAATGTCATACTGTAGATGATGAGTAGATGCTGACAGAATTTTCCTTTTTTTAGTGCACTACCCCTTGAAAGTAGTGAAAGATTTGACAGTTACAACACCAGTTTTCTGTGTTTCCCAAGATTTGAATCTCGCTTCCTGTAAACTTTTTTGAACTTAATTTAACAATCAAAGTATTTGTTGATTTCTCTGTAATTAATTTACATTCAATATTTAAAAAAAGGCAATGTTGTATATAAAAGGTACTTAACCAGAGACCTAAAACAGAAACATATTGAATATTGTGGACCTTTATTAAACACACCTTCGCTTTTCCCAATTTCAGCTGTTTTTTACTACGCTGGCCATGGCTACGAGCACTCTGGCAGAAATTACCTGGTGGCCATTGACGCTCCACGACCCTACCGTACGGAAAACTGTGTGTGTGGACAGAGAGTGATGCAGAGTATGCAGGCGAGCAAAGCCCAGCTCAATGTCATTCTCCTGGATACCTGTAGGAAATGGTAGGCCTGTGGGAACATGATGATCTTGTGTAACTTATTGTTTGTTAAAAAATGTCTATTTAGAATTCCAGATTCTTGAAATTGTTTCGGAAATGCTACATGCTGCTACACTGTTCAATGTTTTTGCTATTTTATATCCTCCAGGTACAAACAAAAAGGTCCTTCCTCTGAAATTAAGCCTTTGGCTCCACTGGGCAACACTGTATATGGATACGCCACGTAAGTACCGACAATTGTTCTAAGCCTCCCACAAAACGTCTTAAACAACAGTGATTGTGTTCTTTTTGTATTATCATGACGTTTGCTCCCACAGGAGTGAAGATGCAGAGGCTTTCGAGGTCCAGGATGGTGGCAAGAGCACAGGGATCTTCACCAAGTATCTGAACAAACATGTCTTAAAGCCAGAGAGGGTGACCCATGTCTTGGAGCAGGTCTCTGAGGGTGAGTGCTGCTACCAATACTCTTCTGTTCCAAAACTTAGAGAGCTGCCTCACTACCTATACTGCTTCCTTCTAAAGGTGCCGTGCGGTCACATTTTCATGGGCGAAATACTGTCATTTCAAACGGAATTCATGCGATCATGAATTTCACTTGAAGGCGAAAGATTTCCCTATGCAGATTTTGCAATGGGTTCAAGCTGGTCTCAGAGATTCGCTGTGTTTATCAATAGAAAGTTGCTTAGTTTGAAAGTGACTTCTGTGTGAGCTTTTCTTCATACACTGCTACAATATTGACAATAGACAATGGCCTTTTTGCCCACAAAATTTCATAGCAACTCTCATTTTCAGAGGTCTTAAATTTGGGGACAAAAATAGTAGGACTTCTGTGATTTGGAAAATGTGGATGTAATCACAGAATCCAGTCATAACAATGAAATTTACTGTATAACGTCACAGAATTTGGCAAAATTTGGATGAGCTGTCCACTTTAATTATATTAATATTAAACTGCAAAACGTGGTGCAGTTTTGTCTACTATACTCAAGCACGCATGTTTTTAGTCTGTTGTCTCACTACTTGTGGACATGAACACATGAATTTCATCTCCAGAGCTGCTCTAAAAGTTTACTTCATGAGCATTTTACAATTTCATTTGATAAAACTTTTGGTTAAAAAACAAAAGTTGGTAGAATATACTTTTCAAAGAAATAAAAAAATTCAATAATATAATTTATTAAAACATTACTTTTTAAGGAATGTCACAGTTTTTTTTAACTGCAAACCTCTGTTGTGCAGCACTTTATTTGCCGATTGTTCAAAATGAATTTGATTTATATTTTAAAAGATTAGTTGTATGCATTTATTTGATTACCCCCATATTTGATAATAAACAGGTATTAGCTATAATAGCTAATACAAGCTATTAATAATAGTTAATAATATAAACTATTATTGTTAAAATTTGAATAAACAATTAAATGTAAAGTTTTGTTAGACGCCCTTTTTGAATATAAAAATGTAATAAACCATTAAAAGAGAATTGAGAAAAGTTTAAACATAAATTACGGAATTTGGGAAAAAATAAAATGATATTTGGGAAAAATAAAGACAGATTTCACAGGGCCCTAAAACAGGAATCACAATACAGCCTAATGTGATTATTAAAGATGCACTAAGCGATTTTTGCCAAATGCTGTCGTTGTTTGAAAGCAGCAAAACAAATACGGCCATATCCCAACCGGACCTCGCCCTTATTTTGAAATCTCCACCCCACACGTACATACAAAACCATGGCAACGACGATCGCGGAAACAAGTGAAGATGACATGACACACAAGCATATTCAAACAAAAGCCAACACAGATAAGTTGTGTGAAGCGAAGTAAAATCAACGTTTTTCACCTATCAAGAAGAAACAATGCAACCTCGGCGTCCGATTCGAGCCCTTCCCGCTCCTTGAGTTCTCTCCACTGCTGGAAAGCGGGTCATACCTCTTGCCTGATCATAACCCTTCTTTTTAATGTTTTGTTTCTCTGATATTTTCCTTTTTTTATCTGCCATCTCTCTCTATCTATAGTCGATCTGCTAATATCCGTGGCTGGCTTTGGGAAGAGAGTTAAAAAGTTCTTTAAATATGCTTATCCGCTTGTGAGTTAAAGACAGCCTTAAATATTGGAAATTCACACACACAGTGACAGTGAATCAGATAAAACATAAAGGGCAGCACAGCAAATCTTTAAAAAGCACTGTGCATATAATCATAACCCTTCTTTTTAATGTTTTGTTTCTCTGATATTTTCCTTTTTTTATCTGCCATCTCTCTCTATCTATAGTCGATCTGCTAATATCCGTCCTGTGCACTCAGACTGAGTGCTCTCTTCTCTCTGTCATTACAAGACACGCCCCCTTAATGCTGAATGGCTACAAGTGTGTTTTGGGACTCGGTCCGAAGCTGTGGTCAAAAGTGTTTTTCAAAAATCGCTTAGTGCACCTTTAAAGGTGATTATTTAATTAAGTATATGTGAGAGCTGATCGTGCACAGTTGAAACGTCTCCAAAGTCAATACTAGATGTTCATATCAAAGCCTAACCAGGACGTTTGAGCAATTTCAGAACAGTGCTGCCTTGCAAGCACAGTGATAACAAGATATTGTCATATTGTCACACATGTAGTAAGATGTAGTGAACAAGGTCACAGTGTCTTTCAGAGCTTTTGATCATTAGCGGATTTCTACTTGGAGCACTTGTGAGCGCAACAACTGGTTGACATCCACTGTATGCCTGACATTGGTTTTCTGTATCCTTCACGGCATGATGTGAACGTGGATTTGTGTTTTAATGGTTGAGCAAATCCCCCCTCTCCCTGCAGAGAGCTTATTTGGTTGTTTGATTGGTCTCTTTGGTAACAGCACTTGGCTTTTTATATTGCAGCTGCCAAAGCATGTGACCTCATTCTCTGGCTGCTGTGCTCAGGTGGGGAAATTTGAGAGCGCTTAACCTAGGGACGGCTGCAGGGTGCCCCACTTACACCCCTCCTTCTCCTATCTCGTATGCTTGTTGCTCAGTCTGCACCCTGTCCCACTGCCATTATCACTGTGTTTGTCATGCCCACACGCACTATACTCCTTCCTGTCTCAACTGTCTTTGATCACAAATCAATGCTTCAACACTGGTTACTGGTGAAGCACAACTGACAACTCAACACTATGCTGTAAATCATTTTAGTGTGGATTTATTCTGTATTTCTGGCTAGCAATTTCTTTTTGGAACAAGTTGTTCAAATTATTAGTACATGTATTTACACTATTATTCAAGTTTGGAGTCAGTAATTTTTACAAATGTTTCTCATATTCACCAAGCCTACATTTATTTGGCCAAGAATAAAGTAAAAACAGTAATATTGTGTAATATAATTACAAATGTTTTTAATTTATTCCTGTTTATTCATTCCAGCATCTGTTACTCCAGTCTTCAGTGTCACATGATCCTTCAGAAATCATTCTAATATGCTAATCTGGTGCTCAAGAAGCATTTCTTATTATTATCAATGTTGAACAATATTTTAATATTTAATATTTTAATAATATTTTTGTGTGAAAACTGTAATACAATTTTTTTCAGGATTTTTTGATGAATAGACAGTTTAAAGAAGAGCATTTACTTGAAGCAAATCTTTTGCAGCATTATACATGTATTTATGGTCACTTTTGTTCAATTTAATTCACTATTATCTAATAATGTTATATAATAAATATTATTAATTTAGCCATAAATTGTACAACTTGTACTGGAAGTGAATATATGGTGAATTTAGAGGAAACATTAATTTACACTTTATCACAATGAAATACTTTTTATTTTTTTCAGTGTTCTGTTGTGCTACTACAGAAAATGACCCAACTTGCATTGCTTTCGCAATAAAATATATATTACAATTGTAAAATCCTGTAATTTTTTGCAATGTTTCTGCACTAAAAAAGCAGCACGTCTCAAGTCTGTTTTGCTTATTTGAGAGCAGAACTTAATATGTGTGAACTGCTATTTTACTTTCTTTTGCAATTAGGGAAGGGACCTTATAGCATGTTCCTCAAAGGTTTTGAACTTCCCAATTATATGGACAACTTGCTGAGTCACGTTTCAGTGTCTGATCATCAACAGAACAGTAATACTATAGTGTGTAGAGAACATATTTAATGTATTTCGTAATAGTTCATTTGTAATGAACCCTGTCGTTCTCCTTTAGATCTGGGTAAGGACCCACTGGTGCGTGGCAGGCAGGTAGTAGAGATCAGACACACTCTGACAGAGCCACGGGCTTTGACCGATCCTGTGCGAACATTTGGACACACTATGGAGCTCCGCCGGCGGGATGCTTGTTGGAAACAGGCTAATGGTATTTACATATTCCTTAACCAACTTTATATGTGACCTGGACCACAAAACCAGTCGTAAGGGTCAATTTTTCTGAAATTGAGTTTTATGCATCATCTGAAAGCTGAATAAATAAGCTTTCCATTGATGAATGGTTTGTTAGGATAGGACAACATTTGTCTGAGATACAACTATTTGAAAATCTGGAATCTGAGGGTGCAAAAAAATCAAAATATTGAGAAAATCGCCTTTAATGTTGTCCAAATGAAGTTCTTAGCAATGCATATTACCGGTACTAATCAAAAATGAAGTTTTGATATATTTACGATAGGAAATTTACAAAATATCTTCATGGAACATGATCTTTACTTAATATCCTAATGATTTTTGGCATAAAAGAAAAATAGATAATTTTGACCCATGCAGTGCATTTTTGGCTATTGCTACAAATATACCTGTGCTACTTATTACTGGTTTTGTGCTCCAGGGTCACATATTATGTCATCAGAGGTTCCTTTCTCAAATGCGTCCTATGTAAACAAACACACAAACAAACAAAAATACCTTCATTAATGGGGTTAACTGTATGCCTTATATCTTCTATGTATTTTTTCCACCTGAATTCTACTTACACTACCGGTCAAAATTTGGAATACTTAACATGTTTCTGGAAAAAGTCTCTTATGCTCTTATACAGGGCTCAGGGCTGCAATCATTTGAATACAGTAAACAGCAAGAAGAAGTGTTTTCTATTTTTAAATATTTTTACATTTATTTTTTCGTGAGTAAAGGTCTCTTGTACCAAAAAAATAGTGCATAACCAGTTTCATAACCAGTTTCCGCCCTTTTTGACTCTTTGACTTTGAGTTTTTACTGCTGTACTTTTAAGGTCTTTATTTAATTGACCTCTTTAAATGTCCTTAACATGAGACATAATCAGTTTGACGTTATACATTATTCTTACATAGTACATTGAACTATTTCAAAAGATCAAGGACATTTTTTGATTCATGATGTTTCCCCTTTAAAATGCTAGATTCACCACCAGTAATGAAGATGCAGATTTGATACAGTGAAACAGAAGTCAGTGTCAGTGCCTACAGTCAAAAGTGCTCTATCACCCGTAACCATCTCACAGTTTGTGACTTCCGCTTTGGTTTTATTTGTGGGTTAGATTGTGATACATGACTCATGGTAAGAGCACCGCTGAAGGATCATTCATAAACCATGTGTCTGCTTTAAAAGGAAATGGATTTCCTCCCAAAAAGAGCCAAATTGTCACCAGTGATCTGATTCAAACGGATTCCATTATTCACTTTAGACTGTGACAGCTTCAATTTGTTGATTTGAGCAAACCATGTATTCTGACGCCTTTAAACATGCTTGTAGGTTTCTTTGATGAATGCAGCAGTTATCTTACTTTTGCACAACATCAGTAACAAATAGTTATACTTATCATACTTATCAGAATCTAATACTTTATGGTTTCTGTTATGTGTGTTTCCTTTTTTCCCCATTAAGTGAATTAATATTTTTACATTGCTGTGTATTTATGTGTTTGCTCATGTTTTTCTCAGTTCTTCCTGGCCGAAGGTCTCTGGACTTTCCATATTGTGCTGTTCAGGTGGAGCTGAGTTTCTCTGCCCTGTTCTCCAATGTCCTGGTTGTGTTTGGTACAGTGAGGAACACAAGCGCTAAGGCCCAGGACTGCACTCTGATTCTTGAGAGTGAACCAGTAAGTCACAGCTTTTCATGTCCTCTTTTGCTGTGATAAACACATACACACGGATACACAAGGTGGATATGAGAGTCAGGACGGGAGGGCCCAGAAAAGGAAAGAGGGTTGTGTTTCATAGTGTTTTGTACTGGAATGTGCTTCTTAAATTTCTCCAAACTTGGAGGAGGTTCATGCAGTGGCATTGAACATTAAAGGAAATAATAAAACGAAACAATTTTCACTCCTTTCGTGAGTCTGTTCTAGACAAAATAGGTCTTATATTTTGTATCAAGCATTGCTCACCAACTGTATTGAGCTGTAACAGATTTTGGTAGCATATTTTGATCACAACTCATAGCCAGTGTTAATTCAGGATTATTTATATAATATTATAATATTTATTAATTTTTAATATGAATGTATTCAGTTTTAATTTTAATTTTAGTTTAAGTTTTTAGTAATTTTATGTCATTTTTTTATTGTTTTTGTTTCTTTATATTCTTGTTTTATTTTTATCTTTTTAGTACTTTTAGTAGTGAAGTATAGTAATTTTAGTACATTTATATATATACTTATACATAAGCAATGCACCCAAAAGCTCAAATATATTTGTTTTAAATAGGCAAATAATTTAAAAATATTTAGATTTTAGTAAATTGTTCCTCTGATATATTATGTAATTAGTTGCATTTTTATTTTCACAATAGTTTAAACAGTAATGATTTAACATTAAAAAAATATTGCTATACTGCAAATGTGAAGTTTAAAAAGTTCAGCAGAAAGAAGTAGGATGAAAACAAAACTGTAGGTTTACTGACCTCCAGGGGTGAAAACGTGTTATACGTCATTGGGTATATATCATAGACTGTATAAAAACAGGTATATATACAGTTCGACATTCACTTTACCTGTATGTTTGATAACAGTTTAAGTGGTGATATGTTTTTGTTTTTAGCAAATGCAGGACATTTTCTCAGGTTCTGGTCGATCAGAAGAAATGGACAGTTTGCTTGTGAACAGTGGTGAAACTCCTGACTGCACCCTCAGATTATGTTGCCTTCAAAGACTCCAGGTACCAGGACTTTTTGTCTTTGAAATAAAAAAAACAGAGGTATAGATCTTAAATTTTAAAACATTGATACTGATATTTAAAACACTTGATTGTCAACTGGTCACAGATAATAGTAGGGTTTTGGCGAGCATGTAATATGCAAATGATAAAATTAAACTAACTAAAAATTAAAGGGGCTATGAACTTGCAAAATGAAAAAAAAAATTATATTATATTAATTATATTACATTATATTATTATATTTTTTATTATAATATATACCACTGAACCACTGATGTAGAATAATGCACTATATCTGAAAGTCAAAAATACTGTTTAAAGACAGTAAATAATTGCAGTTTATTCATACTTCCTAGGGATCTCTGGTGATCAAAGTGAGACTGCACTACACCCACACACAAACTAAAGAACGTCTCACTGAGAGCAAAGAGCTGGACATAGGCAGGCCTCTCATTGCCTCCTGCAAGCTGAATCAGATGAGACCAGTGGACAGGAGACAAGAGAGTCGTGTCCATACTGTGGACCACATGTCCAATATAAGATATCCTCATCATCAGAACCATCCTCGACCTGGTCAGCCCTTCACACGCAAGGCTGAGAACCGATTACAGAGTTCAGCCAAATCCACCTCCATGAGCAGCAATGAACCAGAGGAGAATGATGAAAATGACTCTAATGAATTCACTATGTGATGTTCCTTCCCTTTACAAATACACAGTAAGGCATTGTTTTGATACAACAAAGGATTTTTCTTACATTAATTGTTTACTTTTTGCTTACTAATTACCAGTTGCGATACAGTAAATGTGTGTGTGTTTGTGAGAGAGAAAGAGAGAGAGAGAGAGAGAGAGAGAGCAATGAAAGGAAGAAGTTCTCATGCAAATGTAGAAATATTTATACAAATTATTTGTAAATCAAATTAAGTGTAATATTCTTATATAACCAATAAAGTACTACTTCTGGAGTTTTCCTGTGTGATGAAATTTCATATTCAAAACGCAGTCTTGGAATGTAAATGTATTGATATTAAAGTCATTAAATATTAATGCATTTGTAGAACTTACATAAATACGGTAATAATAAGGTTAAAAGATGTCAAAAGATGAAAAATGTGGAAAATCAGACGGTGTTTTGGATTAGGTCATAAATTCATTTTTATTTTAACAATTCGTATTTACAGGTATTATACATTTAAGCCATATCACATTTACAGATATAGCTGGAAAAAAAAACTATAGATTGTTTATGCAAAAAATATCTTATTTATTCAAAAAGATCATCTTTTTTATTCAATACAAGAACACAGACAAAAGATAAATACAGTAACATATAGTCACACAGTGCGCTTTCAGTGTTTTATTTGTTTTAATTTATGTGAAAAAATTATTAATTTATATTAATTTATATTCATTTATGAAATTAAAAAAGACAAAATGTAATTTAAAAAAAGAAAGAAATATCCTGCACATACCAATTTCAATCTCCCAATACAATTTTCTAAATAATTTTAAAAGAATCTTGAATAAATATTTAAAAACATTAGTAAATGTTTCATTTTCATTTATATCTTTTCGTTTAGCCAGACAAATCTTATGCAATATTTTGTAAGATACTACTTTGATGTTGTTATTGATACCAAAGACTTGGTCCTACTGCCGAATTAAGAAAAAGAAGGAAAAAAAAAATACTGCTCCAGGAAATGAAGAGTACAGAATATTCCTTATAACCTTACTACTACCTTTGTCCAGCATTTTATTGGACAACAATGACCTCCAAATACGCAGCAGCACCCCAATCTTTCATTGTCCGTTTCAAACGCGTCCTTATTTGGAGATCTTAACCATTGGCTAGAAGGAGTGTCAATCAGCTTATGTGGTCCCGCCCCCTTGCTCAAATATCAAGCGGTGAATGGTCAACAGTCGGGCTGCTACTGTCTGCTCGTAACCACAGCGACTTAATCTGGAGCTGGATGCGTTCTGGAGGAACCTGTTCGCGATAACAGAAAATAAAACACTCAGCCGAACATCTGCAGCGTTCATGTCATCGGATAAAGATGCCGTCGGCTTCGGTTAGCTCGTTTCACCTGGGCGACCGGAGAGTTTGGTCGATGTGACATTGCTTGAGCTTTTTGTTCTGGTCCCGGACGCAGAGCAGCGATCGTGCTCTGGGAAGATGTTGAGTCGGCTGATGAGTGGCAGCGTCAGAAGCCTGGAGCGAGAATACTTGTGCACGGTCAGACTGCTGGATGATACGGAGTATACCTGCACCATTCAGGTCAGTCTCACCAGCGAAAAACAGCCTTCAGCAGAGCTTTTGTTGCAGGCTGGGAGAAGCGTGCGCAGTGGGTTTTAATAGCAGGTGCCAGCAGCCAGCATCCCCCCTAAAAGCAGCTCCTTAAAAAATCCTGTAACGCTCGTTTGATGTGGAAGAGTCTTAGCTTGTAAAGGCAGTTCAGATTTTGTTTGGTCGCAGATAGAGTGGGCTTGTTTTGCTCTCACAATGACTATTGTTGATGTGCTGGATTCCCATCTATCAGAACACAACACTGAAGTGCTGCTGCTTCTATAGGCTACTGGAATGTAAATGTTGTAGTTAACATCTGGTTTGTTTATATAAATAGGTTTGCGTAGCAGTTTCTTCTCTGTAAGCTCTGTAAGAGCAACCTCACTTTTTTTTTGGACACATGGGTGAGTTCGAGATGTTTTAGGAGCATCCATTGGTGATACTTTGGTGTAAAGGAACAGTGCACCCAAAAATAAAAAGTCTGTCGTTATTTACAAACCTGTATGAGTGTCTTCTTTTCTGTGGAACACAAAAGGAGATGTTCGTGACAGCTTCAGGATACACTGAAAGCGAATATAAGTGAGGCTGTCAGTCACATCTCCTTTTGTGCATCACGGATGACAGATTTTTCTCTTTTGGGTGAATTATTCCCTCAACTTTTGCATGGACATCACTTGTAGCACTCTTAGATTTGGTGTCTGAGACAAGTCTGTAGTAAAGATGCCAGGACCGACTTCAGAGAATCAATTTATTCAATGCACGTGTCCCCCTTTACAGTTTATTATCATAGTATTGGAAATGCTCCATAAGCAGGAAAGTGTTATATGGATTCTGGCATGATGTCAACACTACACATCCATTAATAATGTATGCTTTGGTCTCCAAAACTGCCCCTTGGGCACTTGTAAATCAAGCAGTTTAGCAGAGCAGCATGGATCACTGGCTGTACAGGAGTGTGTGAAATCCGGCAGATTATGGGAGGTCTGTTACTCCGTGATGAAGGGAGGGTTACAACATAAACACTGGGGATAGAGAAACTGCAACCAAACCTAACTATTTCACTCTTTTCAATTGTCTCTAGTAGATTTTTCTCAATGATCCAGCACTGAAAGTAATTTTCCCATTTTATTTTATTTTTTTATTTAAACATTACTCACATTTGTAAAGGTCGCTTTTTTATCACCCACATATAATATTTTAGGAGAAGGTTTAGTTTATTACCCTACTTTCCCTGAGGGAAACACTAATTGTTTTTCACAGTTTAAGTTCTTTTTTTTCTTCTTTGATGAACATTTTTGCCGTTTTTACAGGGACTTTGAACAGTTGACATTGTGATTTGATGTGTTTTGCCATATTTGATGGGAATATTGATTTATTCTATGTAAAATTATGTTGTATAATATCATGCATATAAGAGTTAGTCCAAAAACTAGCTTATATGTCACACTTATTGTCTTGTTGATACTGTTTAATACAAACTAATTATTATATTAACTTGTCAAATACTACAAGTTTTTAATTGGTTGATTTGTAAATTATTACATTTAGGTTCGCACAATACTGAATATATGGTTAAGTAGTTCACAGGTTTTCACCTCAGGACTTCTTAAAAACTAAAAGATATTAATATTGCAGTATTCATAATAATCATCAAGTTTTTCAGTGGCTGTTAACATTTAGCTCTCTACAATCCTGAATATGTCTTTAAATAATTTCTAGGTTTTCACCTTAAGATTTGAACTAACTGTTGTTGCCTCAAACAGAGCAAAAATAATATAATATATATATATTTTTTTATATAAAAAAGAAAATGAACAAATACAGATGTGATTTATTTTAATAGGAAACACAGACATACAGCCGAGTGCAGGTTGGCATTTTTTCCTGTATTCAGCTGTTTGTTTTTCTTTGAGGATGCCTTTGTTTCATGTGTAGCTTGAAATGAAACGGGAGCCCACAGATCGCTTTCCATTACAGTCAATCTGAGAGCATTCTATTTCTCAGCCCTCAGAAGACTGAGAGGACTGTGGCTCCTAGATGACACGCACTCCCTCAGGGCTTTCATACGGTTTCGACACATCAAGACAATCATTGCGTGTTAGAGAGGATTAGAAGGAGGAAAAAAGGAGAGGAATTTTTCAGGAGCCACCTGAGTGAAGACTTTAAACTGTCTTTATGAGGAAGGAGTGTTTGTTTTATTGCCAAAATTCCACATCGTGTTGACCTGTTGATATTTAAAGGCCTGTTAGAATGATTTTACAGGGAAAGCAACCCTCTACGCAGACCGTGGCAATATAATCGCCATTGGCTAGTCGTTTACATGTAGCGCGTCGATTCAGCGTGGTATGCAAGACTCTCGTTCTCTCTCTTTGCATGTGTGAGAAACACAGCGCTATCAGTAAAGCGACGGCGAGTCGTGTGCCTTCACACTAGTTTACGGTACGTCAAATACAGGTGCGCTGTGTGCTACACACGGCGCATCCATTGAGTACATGACATGATCCCTTGAGCGCATCCAAATAGTACAGATCGCTTGACGGAGAGCGAAACTCAAGCGCTCAGTCAGCGTGTTTATCGAGTGAAAATCTGTGTTGAACGCCTCTCACACACATACTGGCGTGTAAAATCTAAGAATTTATTAGCCAATGGCTAATGTTAGACATTATTTAGTCGCCCAGAGTAAGATTTAGTCGCATATGCGAGTGATTTACTCGCAATGTAGAGGGTTGGAAAGCAAAAAAGTACCATGGAAGTATATGGAAGAGATTATGTTTGAATGTTTTTTTTTTTCAGTCCTTGTGATAATAATGCTGAGTAATCTTACTCTGACAGTACAGCACTTATAAGTTTCTAAAGACATTTTCTTGGCTTACAGTGAAATATCTGAAGACATCCTGTGTCGAAGAATTTATATGGATCATCAATTGGCCAATTACGATTTGCTCAAAATGTCCACATATTGACAGAATAACCACACTTGATATATAGCTGTGTCATTCATGACTTTAAAGCTGATATTATACTTTTGTGCTACAGAATATTTGAATAAAAACAGCACAACATCACAGAGACCCACTGTAAAAACTGGCACATGTAGTTTCCAGAAATTTACTGTAAACTACAGTGACAATTATAACAGTCTATTTCATTAAGAGATATTATGTTAATAAACCAATCAACTTGAAACCAATCAACAATCAAATTTTTCCTTTAAAGTGTACTGATAATCACCATATTAATACAGATTGTGAACCAGAAAGCCACTTGATAAATCAGATTTCACTGTAAATGGTCTGTACTGTACATAAAACATGACCAATTCTCACATATAGATAAAAACAAAGACAAAACACCATGAGGATAACATATGTGACACTAAAACAATGCACCTAAATAACTAAAAATGTAACAAAAATGCCCTAAGGTACATTATGGTACACAAATAAGACGATAATATTTAGTATGACAGTATTTCATATATAATGCAATGTTAAATCATTCACATTTTTTTTACTGTATAGCGTACGGTAACCAGTTAACAGGTTTTTGCTTTAACATATAATATTTTCTTTAAAAAAATAGCAAACTTGTTTTTTTTTTTTTTTTACATAAAAATATTATTTGAATGAATTTAATGATTTTTTTGTTAAAATATTTTTTTTTCTCAATTGCCCATTTAACAAATTACAATTAACACGTATCTGCCTTGCCTAAAGAAAAAGTGCACTGTTTTCAGCTATTTGAAATAAATATTGGGCAAAATATATTTTTTTAAAATAAAAAAAAAAATACAACATGTTGAATTAAGGATGCGTATATCATATTTGCTCTCATTAAATTATATAATAAATATGTAGCTTATCAGTAGTGACTATGTCAAAGTGATGTCCATATGGCAGAAATGTACAGAGAAAATCATCCAGTTAGTTAATGACGTGTATTCTTACAGCAATGTATTAACAGCAATGACTAAATGTTGTGATTCAACTTATAGAAAGATTTGGTCGTTTTGTATGTTGGTTCAAGGTTGGCATCATCTCTTCTCAGGAGTTCGGTCATCTCAGATCTTTATAAGGGCTGGATCCAGGCTGAAGCTTGTGTAATTCCTAGTTACCTCGGGATGCGCATCCTATGGAAGCCCGTTTTCGCCACTCGCAATTCTGACTTTATAGCACGCAGTTGCGAGTTATAAAGTCAGAATTGCATGATATAAACTCGCAATTACGAGAAAAAAGTCAGAATTGTGAGTTTGTATCATACAATTATGAGAAAAAAAGTCAGAATTGTGAGATAAAAAGTCGCAATTACCTTTTTTATTTTTTATTCAGGGGCGGAAACGGGCTTCCATACTAGGGTTGTGACGGTGAGGAAATTTTCCCAACGGTTAATTGACGTGTGACAACACCGATAATACCGTGGGGGCAGGCCAGGGGCGTTTCCTCTTTTCCTCGCTTTCCTTCGCTTTTAAATAGCTTGCAAAAGCGGCGTGCGCATTTTACTTTCACTTTCGAATTAGCGGCAGATCGGCGTCAATTGCTTGAATGCAACAACAAAATACAACGTCAAACTCACTTTAGCCTATATATAAAACATTGAACTTTTATTAACAAAACGAATAAAAATATACCATGCTATAGGGCAGGCTATGCCTAATATAAAATAACAAATAACTTACATAAAGTTTAAATAGGTAGCCTATACAAAACTGGAAATAAGTAAACTAAACATGTATAATATATAACCAAATAAATAAAATGTTGATGCTTAGTCTAAATAACAAATATTTTATCGGTAGTAGTTTATGTTTATGCTGGGATGTTGTGGAGCTTAGGAGATGTTACAGAACCATTTTAAATAAATTTCTTCAATGTACTGAAAACAATCTATATAGATTACATTTATGCGGGATTTGCAGGCGGGAGCGGGACAAAACATGAATGTCGCGGGCGGGAGCGGGACCAGATAAGATATATTTTTGCGGGAGCGGGCGG